GTGAGGACTGACAGTCCTATTCCATTCTTACAGGTGGATTTGGACCTTCCCTTCTGCTGTGCGTCATTTTCATCTGCCGTTTCTGTGCCTCACTGTGTTTCCTGAAGCTCTAAGTGCAGCTCTGTCTGTGCCCATGGCGACCACAGGATCTGGAATGAGCTTCCCCGAGGGCATTCTCCATGATTCTGATAGGAAGAGGACAATGCGTGTTCCAGATTCCTCATCTTGACTGGAGAACCCCAGAAGGATCTCCCCCACTGTTAAGTGAGCATGACCTGCAGGCCTCCTGCTCAGCAGGAGCTGGCTTTCTGAAGGTCTTTTAATTAACATTTTCTTTACTATGGCTCCTGCACTTCTTCCCTCCTTGGGCTTCCTTCACATCGTAATTACCAAAGCTAACCAGGAGAACTTGTCACTGGACTCAACCTAGGAGAACACACAGTCCTATTCTTTTCTTTAAAGGTCTGTAGCTTTTCCTCCTCCCCATTTCACAATGTTCACTTCTAAGAAGGATTTAAATAATATGAAAACTTTCTTTTGGGGAGAAAAAATATCTATTTGGTGTTTGATACATCAGTAGGTACTCTAAAGACCTGAATTTTATAGTAGCTTTAGGAATTATATTTTTAAGAATCAGTTAGGACTTTATATTGCCAGATAATAGAGAGTTCAGAACATCATGCTCTGTGCCCCACTTGCTTTCCCACACTCCCGTCCTCTATCCCTCCCCTTCTTGGGTTTCCAGGGCTTTGAGCTTGAACTTTTGAAAGTTTTATTCTATTAAATTTTTGCTGTATCTTCTGTTTTTCTATACCTTTTGGTTTCTATACCTTGTGTATCACTGCATCGTTCCATGTTGTCTCAGAGTCAACTCTGTCCAGATGGAAAACGGAAGCAGAGGTGTCAAATAAGTTACATTGTCTGGTCTCCCTGCAGCGTGTCCATTGAAAATACTGGGAAGTCTGGTGCTTAGAGAGGGTGCCATTGTCTCTTGTACATACGCTCATGATGTGTCTATGTCCAAAGTTCTTACATATTTCTTTTATAAGCTGAAAGAAGGTCTATTTTTATGTTTTTAGGTCTACGAATGGAACGTTGTAAATGCCTGTCCAACAATAGAACTATGGAAAAGTGCTTGGATGACCCTGTGCCTTTTTGGGTAGCAGAGTAAGGGTGAATTAACTGTATGGGGAGCAAGCCCATAAGAAAAAATACCTACTCTTATTTTTTTTTAAATATTGTATGTACCATTTTTATGTGTATGGATGTATAGTCTGCATGTGTATAAGTGCACCTGTGCCATGCAGTTCCGTCGGGGGTCAGAAGATGGCTTCAGATAACCGTGGAACTGGAGTTATGGATGGTTGTTAGCTGCTGCGTGGGTGCTGGCAATCGAACCTGGGTTCTGCAGGAGCAACCAGTGCTCTTAACCATGCCATCTATCCAGTCCCCTTTGTCTTTTTTTTTTTTTTTTAAAGGAAGAAAGGGTTTATTTTAAGGGTCGGTCCAGAGGAATAGAGTCCATCATGGCGGTGGGGAAGGCCTAGCAACAAGCTTGCTCAGCTACTGTTCTTTTCTTTTCTTTATTTTTTCAGGTGCTTCTTTTTTAATTAAAAAAAAAGCTTTATTGAGAATTTCACACATGCATGTAAGGTGTTTTGATCAAATCCATGCCCACTCCCTCCCCTCCAACATTCCTATTCTTATAAATTGTTTGGTCTGAATTTTCATCTCTGGCCTTCATAGATAGGTGGGGAGACTTCCTTTTTATCAATGAGCCTTATATTTTATCACAGTAGTAACTACTTTTTCAGTGTTACAAATTCAAAGAGCCGTTCAAAAATAAATTTTCAGTACGAAATCCACATCATAGCAATGAAGTAGAAATACCTCAGCATTAAGGCTTGTAATACAACTGTGCTTATGAGGATCATCAATTGCAAACTACAAAACAGGAAGAATCACTTTTTAAATTTTTTATTTTGCTTCAGTGAGAGTTTTTTTGAAACACAATGACGGAATTATCCTAGGAATTTAACACATCAACTAACATTGAAAAGCTGCATTTAAAATAAATTAGGACTGCCAATTGGCCATGTTCCAAAAATATATATTGATTGAAATTTTTATAAATTTCAGATAGTGGGAGTTTTTTGTTGTTGTTTTTTCCTTTTTTTCTTCTTTTTTTTGTGTTTTTTTGGAACACGGTATTTTTTGTAGCCACAGCTGCTGTGGAACTCACTATTTAAACCATGCTGGACATGATCTCACAAATATCTGCCTGCCTCTGTATCCTGAGTGCTAGAATTAAAAATGTGCACCACAATGCCTGACTTCAAATAGTGTTTTAAACTTTAGTCTTTATGATGATTTATAATACTATGTTTTATTGTATTTTATTATAAAAATTCTTTTAAAAAATTTATTGCATTTTCTTTTTAACGTTTTTCTTTTTAAATTTTCTTTATTGAACTTTAAAAATTTCATACAACAGTTCTTAATCAAATTTAGACCTTCTCCCCTTCGATGTTCCCCCTTCCCCTGACCAGACCTCATGTATTCTGCCTTACATGTTAAGTCCTATCCAGTCAAGCATTTTTACCCAGATGTCCTTCAGTTCAAGTCCATTCAGTGGAGTCTAGTCAGCCTATCTGGAGACTGTAAATAAGGTCTACCCTCCCTCACCCATAATAATCAGTCTCCACACTTTCCAGGCTAGGATTTTCCACCACCCGTTTCCCTTGCTCTGCTCTCGGTCCTTGTCTGACTGAGGTGACATGGGTCTTGTGCTCGACACCCGTTGCTGCAAGTTCACATGAACAAGCTTGCAGTGCCCTGAAAGCCTCTGTTTCCCTGTGTTCATGGACCAACTCTGACTCTCATAATCTTTCTGCCCCCTCTTTCTTAAAGGTCCCTGAACTTTGGGTAGGTGAGGTTTAATATAGAAGTCCTATCCAGGGACATATACTCTGAAGTCTTTTATTCTCTGAAACTTGGCCAGTTGTGGCCTTCTGTGGGCATTGCCCTCTGTTGTGTAAGGAAGCTTTGCTTGTGAGAGTTGAGGGATGCACTAGTATTTTCTCTACACCTGTTCCACTATGTTCCATGATCCTTAGGTATAGAGGTTCCACTGTAGATATGTCACTTAGGACTGGGCATCTCTCAGACATATATTCTCTGTGCATGAGCAGTTCTGAAACTCCGTAGTAGCTGACATCTGTTGCCAAAAGAAGCATCTGTGATGAGTGGTGAATGATGTACTTATCTATAAAAGTAAGGATTCAACCCTAAAGCCCAATAACCATAATGACTGTCACAGCAAAGTGTTATAAATATTCTTAAGCCCTGAGGTTACATAGCTACCTACACACACCACATGCAAATTTAGAACTCTTTTAATTCAATTCTTTTCATACTGACTTTTTAAAAACATAAATGTTCCTTTTGGTGATATTGTTAAATATTTATTTAAGCTTCAGACAACATCGGAATTACATTCACAAAGTAAGAACACAGAAATAAAACAGTACAAATGAGAAGGAAAATGAAACAAAGATTATAAAATCTTTCCTTAAACTTGGGAGCATTTACACATCACAAATTAAACTAATTCAAACATTATGAAAGCACATTTATTGTATATTATGGAAAATGCTACATTATAAGATAAATAAAATGCTTAATATATTTTATATTCAAGAAGAGCATTTTTCCAAGAAACAGTCAGCTTTTATGACATCGAAATAACAAACTTTAAACATAGGATGCGCAGCATGCTAACGCTTGTAAAGCAGAGAGGAAAACCATTGTGTGTCTCATATTTTGCTGTTACTTAGACAACACTGATTTTTCTCACAAGGCGGATTAAAACTTCT